CACATATGATATTAATGATAGTCCGAAGGGCAGAGTCCTGAACTGCAGCACCTGACCCTTGTGCACAAAACATATACAGTGGCAGGACGACTCCGCTATGAGAACGTGCAGACAGGTGTCAGTAACATCAAACTTTGTCATCCACATACCTGGCAAAAAATGCCAATGCAAAGTGAGGAAATACTTCATTGTGAACCTTGGAGATATAGGAATTGATCAAGATGAGAAGGATTGATGACCAGATGCCAAATTCCTGTCTTATTGGGCACAACAAATAAACAGGAATAAAACCCTGGAAGAACTGGGTTGACTCTCTCCACTGCCCATTTGAACAACAAATCTCTGATAGCCCTGGAACAAAGTTCCAAAATCCGAGGATTTTCAGAAGATGGAAACACTATAGGTTAGGTGGATAATGATGAAAGTTTTCCAAACATCCAGAAATCCTTGGAGCCAAGCCCCCACAGACCTCAAAGGCATATGGTAGTCACAGCAGTTGCTAGCGGTATTCCAATCGAATGGAGGAGCTTTGTGGATATGGGTGGAATCTTTTCTGGGTACCAATGGACCAAGGGGCTGATGTCAGGGATGGGACACTCAGCTAGGGGCAGAACTATGACCTGTAGTACCTGAGGAAAGTCAAGAAGCAAATGATGACACAGATGAATGCAAATGAGCAACATCAACCATTGATTCCAAAGATTCTCTAATGGCCACAAAAATCAAGGGTTGGAGAAAGAGGGCCTCATTTAACTCACGAAGGGTGACAGCCAGTAGACAAACGTCCTCCAACAATGCATCTCTACCTAACAAATCCCAACAACAGACCACCCAAGAGACAAGAAAAAAATGCAAAAGCTCACAATCAAACCAAGATAGATGCTAACAATGGTCCCAACTCATCATCACTTGAGGCTTCTAACAAAAGTTGGAGGCACGATAACTATCTTAGCACCATAGTTAGGGTCAGACAAATCCTAGAAAATTGTTATTCATTCAGGCTGACCATAGACTCCCTTCTGGAACCCCACATTTCTGGAGTGGGTCTATTCTTTAAAAGCCTAAATACACATCCACCTAGCTGTGGTAGGATAGAGCATGTGGTTCTGACAAATGTGGCAAACAAGGCATAGTTGTCCCTTCACATAACTGAGCAGTAAATCTCCTTGCATGAACCACAATATCAGGGGATGGGGGGAGAACTATGTATTTGCCTTCAGACATTTTTCTGCCATCAAGGAAGGTGCAGACCCAAAACATCACACACTCCATTCACAAACTAAAGAAAAGGAGCTAGTCCCAATTTGGCCTCTTGAGTAGCCAATAGAATAAATTCTCTCCAGAATCTGGATATCTGTCTTCATCACACTATGAATAAGGTCATGGATGGATTCTATTGAGCAGTTGTAGTACAGAGAAACCCATTAATAAACACTTTGTTGAGAAAAAGGGATAATTACAATCCATGTTACCATGTCTGGCCATGCTCTATCTGAAAACTGTGTAGTGTAGTTTCTATTGCAACAACTCCAGCATCAAATTGTCATGTTAAAAACACACCACACCTCACTGATTGCTTTCCATAAACCATCTAGTATATAAAGACAATGGTTTCCATGTACCCATTTCAAAATTTCAATTATAGAGAAATCCACAGTCTTTGCATCTGGTAACTTGACCAGTATGCTTTCCTATGGAACAGCATGAATACCCATTTCATGCAAGCAGCTGTGTACATTTAACTTGCACCACTTTTCCAGATGTAGATCCTTTTTAATTATATTGGATATTGTTACCTGGGACACACACATACAGCTTTTTCCACTGACCTTTGTTTTAATGGATTCTCACCTGCTACAAGATGCCACACTTTGCATACCATGTTGCAAACCTCTTTCTGGATAAGCCAGGTTTCCAAAGTTGATCCATACTCCTTTGTTTTCAACTGCCACTAAGTGCAAGGAATAACTACATTTTGGAAACTCTAAGACCCAGAACTGAACACATCTGACTGTATGAATATTTTTCATCTGAAAAGGCTGTTATATACTCTTCCCAAAGACAATCATTTCTTGGTGGCATTACACTACCTATGAAACACTAATCAATGTTAAAACATAGTTATGAGGTTTGTCATTCCACGGCATTATATTGTCTGTGGCTGTCACATGACTTATCAATTACAGTGGTTTTTTCTAGGTTCTGTATTTTACTTCTCTTAGCTGGATGTTATGCTTGTTTTTTAAACGTAAGTGATAATAACGCCTTAAATCTATGATTAAAATGCTCTCTTTGCACCAAAATAAAACAAAAATTATAATTGGAACTATTTAATGAATAAAATATGCTTCTGAAAAATTTAGTAATTAGAAATGGTGAATTGGATGTTTTGACACATTATGTAATTTATTTGTTAAACATTTTTGGCCACTGAAACGAGTCTCAAAAACTTATCTGGCACTACATAGGATTTTAAACATAAAATGGGAATATCACAAACTACCCAAGTCAGTAATATTTCAATTAACACATACTGTAATGAAGAGATCAAATGTACATGAATAAAAGCTTATATGGGTACTAGCAAGAGTTATGTAAGTCCTAAGAGTATCTTTCTCATCCTCAGTTGTTTTTTTATATCAAAATTGCCTAGACAATAATCACCAACATCACAAAGGAAAGTTTAACAACAAACAAAATGCTTAATTATATTTTTTATGACATTCTATTTGATATAATTTAAAATCGAGAAGACTGCTATGGAAGCTTTTCCTACTTTACAGTATTGAAGTACATCAATACTATCTGGTTGTTTTTGCTTACAGCTTAGAACAGTCTAAAATCACAAGAATCCAATACTGATGTAAAAGATACTACAGGTGTGTCTAACAGTAAAATCCTTCATGTTCAAACCTTGTCTTCCAAGTTTTGCAAAAGTAAAAACATAATAATTGACACATGACTCCAAGGTTTGTCATTCTGCACTTTTATATGTTTAACATTAAAAAAGAAAAATCTATTCATAAGAAGAAAATAAAAGGAGGGTTTCAACCACTTCTGTTAGTAAGATAAACAAATAATTTTTACATTTTTACAATATAAAGATGAATCTTTGTGTAAAAGGAGACATTTTTTAAGGCTATCTACAATACATCTTACTTCCAAAATGACATGGAAGAAAGGTTTTTTAAATTGCTCTAAATGCAGATTGTTAAAAATGATTTTAGTTTTGTTAAAGACACATTTTCTTTACAAAAACATTTTGCATTAGCAGATTTTACTACAGAATAGGCATGTGACTTTGATAATGGTAACTAGCTAGCATCTTCTTTTATCACGATGATTTTTGACACAGAATATATGAATTTTTTTGCTTTCCACATAAGGAAAGTAGACTTTTACAGCAAATGCATACTTTTAATTTATGTGAACATAGGTATTATTTAGGTAGAAAAAACCTGAACATAACCTCTTCGTCACAATATACAAAATAAAGTTATCTCACCCAGCATGTGCAACTGTCTTGGTATGCAATAAAAGTAATGGTTTACCCAGTATGACTCTCACTGCTTTTAAACAAGGTCTTGAAAAGTCATATCAAACTAATTTACAAGAACTGTGAACAATCCTCTGTATGTCGATTTACTGAAATTTTTCTTCTTGGTATCAGTGGTAGAATGTAATCTGATAAAATATTAGTTTCATTCTAAGATTGCCTGTCACATTTTATATTGATTAATGAATTAAAATTTTTTCTAATACTGATCAAATTAAAACAATATTTACAATATCATGCATTCGTTTCATGGAAACAATTATTACTATGAAGCAGCTAGTCTGTTTAATATCAAGCTTAAAATGTGTTGTCCTTTATAAGTGAAAGCTTGAGATCTATTTCTTTGGTCAGAATACTTCAAAAAATGTTAAGAGATTGGTCTTCAAAGTATGTACAAATCAATATCTATAACCATATTTACACTCCAATGTAGCATAATTAAAAATAAAAACAGACTTGATAGTTCAACTAAGTTTCTTTCAAATTAAACACATTAATTTTACTATGAAGCTGAGACATTCAAAATGAAGTTAGATCACTGACTCCTCACCAGGGGTGAAATATATATATATTTTTTTAAAAGAAATATCTGTGGATGGTACTGACCATACTGAACATCCTGATTAGATTACTGATCAAACTGACCAGATTTAACATCATGGAAAGTTTATTATTCTTATGAAAATAAGTTTTTATTATATCTTTCAGTCACCTAGTTACAAATAACATAAAATATATCAAGCAAAACTACATAGATCATTACCAGTTTGGTAAAAACTTTTTAAATCATATATATACATAATGCTTGGAGTCAAGTTTGCCAATTTAAGGTGACGAATTGTAAAACAAATTAGTAATTATACAGAAGTCTGCTAATTTAATAATCCTCTTCCCAAATCTTCATTTAAATACATTCCAGATATGGAAATATATATATACACGCTGAAATTTCACTCAATTTCCCTCTAAGATGACTTCTGTAGCTTAATATTTTGACACTTTATTAAGTACTTATTTGTCAATCACAAATGATACAAAAAGAAATACACAAGTTGTTAAAACATGGTATCTACAACTAACTGAAAGTTATTTTGAATGTTTGTTGATTACAAACAAGTTAAAAAGAAAATTCAAATTTCCCAAACATAACAAGAATACTCAACAATAGATAAAAAAAAATTTCTCAATCATCAGTAGAGAAAATGAATTGGAGATTGATGGCATTCCTATTTTGGTTATAGAGTATATGATTAACAAGATTTTCATATTAAAGAAGTTTTCATTGTACTATTAAGGTAAAGTTTGTATTTCTTTGATTGTACAATGGTATTCAATAATTATAATTACATATAATATTGTTACAAATATTGATAAAGCTAAACAATTAATCTACTTTCTGTAAAATCTTGATTTTCCTCTTTACTTCCTACAGTTATTTACTTACTGATATAACTTGGCCTTTTTCATTGCAAACTTTCACTGTAACCTCTACATTCCTTTCTGTTGACTTAGACCCCTTAGAAAATTCTCCTTGTACAAGAGTCAGGTACAGGTCATTTCGTACATCACCTAATAGAGAGTAAAGTAAAATACGAACAATGTGAAAGGTAATAAAAAAAATCAAAACTTAAGCAAGTTTGTGTATGTGTGTGTGTGTCTCCTTATGACTGGAAAAATGCTAGAATAATTGTTAACACTCTCCAGGAGTGACAAAATGGGTTGGCATTTGGATCTGAGTCTTCCCCCCCCCCCCCATGTCAACCCCCAGGAAGGTATGTCAGCTAGTATAAATATATTTAGTAATCTATCAATATGGGTTAAAAGGAAGTTTCCAGGTTATTTGATACATATTAGAAACTCAAAATAACCTTGAAAGCTACATTAATTATTTTTTTAACACAAGAATGCTAAATGTATACTGATATTTTAAAATATATTTGTCAAAAATAAAATTACATGAGTTTTCCAAGACTATACATATATACATGTGTATAGCTATGAAAGTTATAATTTTCCTAAACTGAAAATGTATTTCTGATCGTTATTTCTGATAGCTATTGTCGTCTAGTGTTGCCCTCTATATAGAAAATTTTTTGATACATTGTCATAAGGCATCAATATCCCCTCCATTGGAACTGACTGATTCCAATGCATCTCTCATGCAAATCATCACGCATCAATTTCCACCACTAAGAGTGCGACATACTCTCATGACACAGGTGGCTCCCTTTATTCAATTCTACCAAACTATCACTTTGAGTTTTGGCAGTTTTCACTAGGAATGAAGGGTTGGAAGTGTGAGAGGAAGTAAGTACCTATCGGAAATACATTTTCAGTGCAGGAAAACTATAACTTCAGATAATGTACATAATCTCTGCTTACATAAATAGCTAGAAACCCAATAGGTGGAAGGACTGGTGCCAGGGAAGGAAAGGAGCATCCTTCGAAAGCATCCAAAGGACACTCCCTAAGATGAGACAATCAGATTCTAAGATCTGAGGTGGAGAACCTCACCATTTCTGAACCAGGTATACTCTTCACCCATTGTAGATAGATGTCGCATATATGGGTGAAAAAAGGGGAGCACATCCAACTGGGAGAGAAATATGGTCAGAAAGTGATCTGAACCATGCAATATTTATGAAACTCAATCCCAGAAGTTATAAAAGTGGGTAAAATGAAAAGGATGTGCCCCTATGCATTGGGTGGCTAGGGCACGACGGACCATTCACTACAAGTCAACTACATCCAAAACCCATGCCGCTGGGAACCGACATCCACGTGGAGGTAGGAGGAGGATTGTACAATCAGTAAGTCTACTACAATCCAAAACCCAGCTGCCAGGTACCAATATGCATGTGGGGGGTAGGGAAGAGGATCATACTGGTGGCTAGTCAACTACAATCCAAAACCCAGCCATCTGGCAGAGGATCATACCATTTTCATCTGAAGTTCATGAGAATGGAGGGAATCTAGTACCTCCCAACTCATGAACAGGGCAGATGTGAAAATGATAAATTGATGGATCAATGGTCCAGAACTGGCATATTAATGAAGCAAATATATTGAGAGGAAAACCTACAAGTGATGTAATGGAACACCCCATCTCAACAGTGTGCATTTAGTGGCCATGAAAATTATAATTGTTAAGTCATCATGGCCTTATAGTACAGATTTGACTAGTTTAAGTATACTTATACAGGCACCACTCTCCACAGAGTGGGATCCATAACGAAAAAAAAGGGGACATGCCCCTGAAAAATAAAAGGTATATATATATATATATATATATAACAAAAG